TTGTTAATTTAAAAAGAATTTGAAGGTACACTAATAGATCTTTGCTAGTAATGTATATAATATACATATATATAGAAGGCTATATATGATATGATGTTCACTAGAAAAAGACTGACTTAACGCAGTTGTCTTGGGATTCTCATTGTTGGCCACCTCTTCTATTAACGAAAGTGTTTGTGATTCTAATCATCGTCTGAAGTGTTCTTCGTTTGATTCGTGTTCGTAATCACATACAATCTTCTTCAATATTACCTTTTGGACATCGTCGTTCATCGTCTTCTAACGCAAGAATGATTAACACTTAACAGACTGACTCGTGACTCTATCTAACTGAACCTTCGTCGAGTGATTTTGATGTCATCGCCATCTTTTAACAAGATTGTCTCACGAATTAATGATATTATCTAATTAATTAATTAATAATATTAACTATCTCCAAAAGCCGTAAAGAAGCTTAACGAATAACAAAATCCAGTACGTAACTCCTGGCGCCGATCTTCATTAACACTAATCCTCTTATTTAGCACTTTCGCTGATGCTGTCTCGCTGTCGCATAATCATTGCTGTCGTGTTTTCACGCCTAAAAAGAAAATATTTCGTGCTGTTACTTTCTGAGCTTTGGAAATTTGATAATACGTTAGGTGCAATAAAAATTCTAATAAAGCAAAGAATTTCCCAAAAAGAGAGAATGAGTTTGGCAGCAAAAGTGTTGATCATCAACACGTTCTTCGCTTCTATTTTTAAAAGCTCTGAATAATTCCAAAAAAGCCACGTGCCCTGAATAAGACTAATTTAAAATGGTTCTAATCCATCGTCTTCTAACTGGTTTCGTCCGATCTAATCTCGATAGACCCAATTGCGACTCGGTCTAGCTAAATGTCCCCGTTAAAGCTGTTTCTGTGGAATCTCGTGTTGAGTTGGGCCACATGATCCTGGTGTTGGTTGGCCCTTTATAAAATTATTCGACGTATTTTTAATCGGTACGATTCGAACTCTTCGACAAAGGCCCCGCCTCCCAGGGCACACCTCCGAACAGTCCCGCTGCCGTGTCCGCGTTCTCCAGGGTAATGGCAGCGAGCCAGACGAACAAGCAAGCCCAGAACCAGGTTCAGGGAAACCCCCTTGGATTAGCCGCGGTACTCCTACAGGGAGCACAAGGTAAATCGGGTGGTGAGAGCGCACCGAGAGGGAAGTACGGTAGAATCGATTTCGAGACGACTTTCAAACTTTTATATCTTTTTATATTACCGAAGGGGCTGACTTTTTATTTTTTTTTTTTTTATTGCGTTAACGTTTATTGCGTTAGACTTTATATTTTTTCTTTAATATTACGTTATGTATTTCGACTTCATATTTATTTCTAACTTTATATTGAAGATACTTACATTGATGTTAATCTTGAGTTTCTTCTTCGCGTAAAAAATTCTGTTTTCTTATCTTGTTAATTTTCCTCTACGAAGAGGATTTTTTAAATCTTTTCAATTATTACCATTTCAACTTTTATTTAAACCGAACTTGAGACGCGGGAGTCTATCGGGCTTCGATAGAATTGTGAATAACGCAGTTACTTTCAACGATTTATTTCTTATTAATTGTTAATTGTAAAACATCGTAAATTCCAAATAAACTGAGATATACGATCGTATAATAGGATAGATGTCAAAAAATATGTATATTATTTTTATCAATTATATAAAATATCAATTGTGATTAGTCTACTGAAATTTAGAGAGTTCACATACATTTGTCACTCACGAAATTGAATTTCTATTATTAAGAAACGAAATTTTAGTTACAATCGTCAAAGCTATAAACTGTAAAAAGCAGTAAAGTCGTAAAATCTTGGCTAGAGAAGAGTAGAAGGTTAATGTCTCCGCAGTTTGTAATATCCGTGCCCTCCTCAACGTTTTACGTGCGCCATAGTGATAAGGATAATTACTCTTGTCTTTTATGGCGTTTCCGGAACAAAAGGTCGCCGGCATTAGCCCTTGCGTTTCTACCGTTCTTTCGGCTCTCGGTGGAGAAAAGTTTTTGTCACTTCTGCCTACGCCAGTGTCGATTGCTTTAAATTTCATCGTTCGAAGAATAAAAACAAGGATAAGGAATTATTCATCTATAATTTACTTATAGATCGAAAGGTCCACCTATTTTGGTACTCACAAACTTTACATTTCCAAACTTTAAAATTCTACTTTTAAGAAAATTGAATTTATCCACTGTATAAAATATTAGTAAACATTAAGGGATATTTGCTGTTTAAACACTCTTTCGATTGTCGAAGAAAGGAAACAAAGGATCCATAAGTCAGGGATAAATTTCTACGAAGCCTGTCCTGTCCAATCGAAACTCGTTTCAAAAAGAAAATCACGACAATGTTCGAATGAACGAAGGAACCTAATCTCGATTAAAAATGTCAGAGTTGAACGAAGAAAAAGTAAGAAGATGGAAGACAAGAAACTATACAGGCACATAGAAAGCGAAGTAAATAAATGCTGAATGAAGTGCGACGAAACGAAGAAAGAATCGTAGAAAAATAATAGAAAACGTTTGTGCTCCCCCTTTTTCTTTTCTTCTTTCTACTTTTTATGTATTATGCATTCGAAATGACGTACAAAAGGAATGTGAACGGGACGAGAATAATCGAACCCTCGTTGCGATATTACGAAGCATCGTTTTTGCTTCTTTTTTATCGGTGCATAAAAGTTTCTTTACGATCGGTCCCAGCAGAGACCTGCGAAATTGCAGACTCCCTTTGCGGCTATTATCGGAAATGCGCCTTCGTGGCGCAGGATACGAGGCAAGGATACTGAAATTCAGCCAACGAGCCCTACCCGACGAATCGGTAAGATTTTCTGTCGCGGTCAAACCGTTTCTGCCTGAATCGAAAGCTCCTCGATGTTTTTAGCAATGCATGGAGGAGCAAAGTTTTGTAAAAATATTTCAATACCTTGATTCAAGGTAATTTTGTTAGTAGTGGTTCTTTCATAATGCTTAAAGGACCAAATTTTGCAACTTCGAATGAAACTATTCTAAATAAAGGTTTTAATAATAATTTCAAAGTAAACGCAATTGTTTTGGAGGATTCGTAAGATTATTCGTTTAACATTAGAATTACGAAACATTTTTCATTCTTATAATTGCTAACAACATGCATTATATCAAAATAACTTTTATTGTAAATTGATCTATTTATTTTCCTTAAACTATCTTAAACACAATCATCTGTAGATAGTATATTTAATACAATATATTACAAATCATTAGTTCCAATGTTAAGCGAATGAAAGTTTTCCTCATTTTTCTTTTTATATTGATCTCTGATATCTGGTTAGAACTAACTTCTCTCTAATTATCCTCCTTTAAATAACGACGAAAATAACCAAAAATAACGACGATATCGATTTTTACAATTCTCAAATGTAAATGGCCCCTCAAGCATTAAACCACTATACTGAGAAATTGAACAACGTTAAGCTCGTGTATCGTTCAAACAACAAAAGACAATTTACCAAAGCAGAAACAAGACAGAAGACCGACTCGCTAGGCAGAAATCGGTGAGTCCCTCTTAGAGTCGAAGCATGACTTGGACTTTTCTTTTCTCCCCTACAATTTTTTATCTCTTTTGGCCACGTACTTGGTCGAAGTCAAATTACCGAATATTCTCACGCTTCGCGTGCCTTAGATTTATTCACAAACCATTTTTGATGCTTGCGCTCCCCCCGCCACTTTTTGCCGTCTTAACATTTTCGTCCGCCATTTTTCACTATAGATACGAACGTTACACAGCACCAATTCTCGATTCTCGATATTACGCACACATACACACGAATCTTCCCTTTTCTATCGAAATGGATCAAATCATTGCTCAACGAGGTCCAACGAAAAATTCGCCTGATCATTCAGCATCGCTTTTTTCATTGGAATCTCGTCGACGCTTCACCTAGTACTGTCTGATCTAGATGAAACGATCGAAACGATCGCAGAGTGTCTGACACTTTGTACTCGTTTGTTCGATCTATGCGAAGCTCGTTCACGCGAGCCACCTCGTAAACGCCTGCATTTTGCCAATTTCGCTTCCGATTACGAATTTTCTTTCATTCTTGTTATCTCCCCTATTCTCTTTTATCTCTTTTCTCCACCCGTTTCTTTTTTCTTTCTCTCTCGTTCTCCTCTTTTTTTGGTATTCTCTCAACGACAGCTCGTTGCACTCTCGTAGAAGTTTAATTTGCAAATGTTGATTTAAATAGAAATATCTGTTCGAAGCTTCTCCTGAATTTTATCCTCACATTCACCATCTCGTATTTATATTTACCTTGCCCAACCATTTAGATATTTAGAATTCATTTATATTTTTATATATTTATTTGCCTATTCATTGTAATACATTACAAAAGACTTAAATCTTCCATGATAATTATATTCGACACCTTTCTACGTTTGCGTATACCGATAAACCTAGCCCAATGGTACATTACCATTTTCCTGCGAACCCTAATTTCCTTAATATCGTTGATGATAATTATATTCAATTTCTTTTCACGTTCGCGAATATCTACGTATCTAATCCAATAATTCGTTACTATTTCTGCAAATGAAACCTCGGTGTATCCCACGAAGAATAACTACCTCTGATAATAAAGCTGCCCGACTTTAAAGCAAATCCAATCGAATTCTATTATGAATCTTCTATTATTGATTCGTTCCATTCAAATTCATTATCCTAAAATCTATCGCTATTATCAACCTCGATACATACTGCTATAACGGTTAAATAAAACCATTGGAACGTACCATTTTTTATCCTCATTATTAAAAATTACCCTTAAAACGATTGTCTTAATTTGAATATAATTTGGATAAAGTTATTTGCATTTGAATACATACGAGAGTGCAACGATCGAATCATAACGATACGAAAAAAAGCGACCAAAAGCGACCGAGAGGAAGCTGTTCGGAGGCTGACAGTAGCTCGTCTTTTGGTTGGTTGGTTGCATGACTAGCTGGCAGCGCAGGAAGTGCTAGCAGCAGTGGTAGCAGCAGCAACAGCCAGAACAGCCAGACTGGCGCTTCACCATCTTCGCCAGCGGCCGTCTACATCGGCAACAACCACGTGGCGACGCCCATGGTATCGTCGCGACGCTACGACTCATCGAACAACGGTCTGTATACATTTCACACCTCTAACTGTGGCTATCTTCTCTGGTTACCTTCAATTTTTCTCCCCTTTACACCAATGCTGCTTTCACTCTTCCATTCCACTGTCGCAATTTATTTATTACAAAACAGTGCTATTTGTAGATGAAATTTTTCATGTGACTTATCGCGGGAAGAATGTTCTTTTTAATTTTCCTATGTACAAAAGTCATAGCAAAAATCTTTTAATTTTCTGTTCTTTTTCTTTCTTAAATTTTCTTATTCGGATGAGAAAGTCTTATTTCTATTATTTTTCCTACCTTCGAGAAACGTATTTGAATCCGTTAAGTGGAAAAGACGAGTTGACTCGTCGCTCGAGGTTGCCAATATTTTGAATATAATAACGTCATTTAGAAATTCTCCATTTTACAATACAGCACTGATTTGTTATATATCTTTCTTCTAAGCTTTCTTTCATTCATCCTCTTTATTTTCAGTTTTATCAACTTTTGGATCTTTTTGATTAGTGGCGATCATTTCTATTTAATGCATCGTTAATCAAATATTTAACTAAATAAGGTCGTTCTAATTTCGTTAGAAATTAGGCGAGAAAAGGAACTGTAAGTGACGATTCGGTAATTTCTTTCGCGGAGCTAATGAATTTCCAGGATTTCGAATGAAAATTGGATGTTTTGAGTTCTCCGCGATCGAGTTCCATGGAATTGCAGAGAATGTGTCACGTTGAATGAAATGGTCGCCGATAATGCATTTCATTGTACGGAAACGCGCTTGCTGCCGCATTGTGCGGCTTGATTGATTCCCGTAATAGCCAAAAGTGCATTTATCGCGGCGAAGCCTGTAAATCAGGCTGCCATTTCGCAAATGGAAGACACTTTCACGTTACATTGGCAAATAGCACGCTAAAAACGTATCTCACAACGTTCTCACAACATTCTCCAAACTCGATGTCTCGATAATTCTTCGAATAGTTGACGTCAATGTTAATTAAAATTCGACGACAACGTGTTTTACAATTGGCTTCCAATAGAATCAGCATAGTCTCGAATATTCAAAGTGATTAAAACTCGCGTCACAGTTCCTTCAAGTCGCATCCAAAATGTCTAAACCCGAGATCGGTCCGAAATTATCTTGATGTTGTTAAAACTAGTTTTAAAGTGACTCAAAATTGGTTAGAAGAAATTCAAGCTCGTAAAACCCGAAGTAATACGAACTGAAATTGATTAAAAATAAACTAAAGTTGCATAGACTGAGTCTACTAGATGAAGAATCGATCAGAAGTAACTGAAAGTCGCACTATCTCAAAGTAGTTTAATTAAGAGTAATTCAAACTTTCGGTAGCTGCAAGTGACACAACTCAAAATTGTCTGGAATAACTTCAATTGACGTTTAAGTAGCTCAAACTTACCTAAAGATGATTCAAATTATTTCAGATTCTGTTTCTAAAGTCATAACGTTGATAGATGCTTCGCATCTTTGCGCCAAAAAGATCTTCGATATTGTCAAGTTACAAATTAATTCCCTAAATTGCCCCGACTCTACGATTTTGCTCAAAAACGATGCATTAATCTTTCATCTCTTCGGCTTAGCTCCATACAACATACTCAGCCAACCAACCCGAGCCATATACCGCTTTGGCCAGAGGGGAAACGGCCTTTTAGCCCTTTTTCACCCTTTTTATTTTTGCATGAAACGGTGTTCGTTGACCCGTCTTCTCCCCATGTGTGTGTTTCTCTGCATGTTCCGGTTGCTCGCATCGCTGGCATGCCGCCTTGAATTCCAAATGCATGCGACTCCAAAACGAATCTGGAATGAAACCATAAAAATCAAAAAAAAAAAAAACAAAAAATGGAACCAAAACATATCAGAACTGGAGATTCGACGCGTGGGCGGTTCTGGATATATGCCACTCGGTCAAGCCGAGTGGTGCGACCCAGAAGATGGTAAGAAGAACACCAACGCCGGTAAGGTCGCAGAGAAGTCGAAAAATAAGATGGACGAGGAAGCCTGCTCGAAGCTTAAGCGGTGTTGCTTGTTGTCGTGAAGTTTTTCGAGTCTCGCGACGCTGTACGATCAAATGATAAAACTTTTATCACCACCGAGAAGATTTTTCTTCGATTCTTTCACTTTGTCCAATTTTTTTTTTCGCTTCTTCGAGATTCTTCTACCTTTTCAAAAGTAATTAAGATCCATTCAAGCTCGAATAATCGCGTAGTCGGTAGGAAAAATTTGTGTATTTTCATTCATTGCGAGAAGACGAATGTTTATGCAAATTTATGTCTTTGTGCATAATAAAGAAATGAAATCGTCATAACGTCGTAACGAATACTACGTTTTCAATATTTTACGTATTTTTGCCTAGCGCATGTGTTCTGTGCGTTTTCGCTTTGGAATCTCTTAAAGTAAATACATAATTTAGAGCAATTTAATTATAACAAATAGAAAGACAATTGTCTTGTAAAGAAGACATAACAGTAAAATCGAAGACTAGTTTTAACATATCAAAGTATTAAGTATGCAACGTTGTATATACTCGACATCGAGTGTGAAATGGTTAAAGAAGAATCGAAGATGGTTTTTTTAATTTGAATATAGACACCGACTTAGAGAAAAATTTGTTGAATATAACTATTGAAAACTGTTAGTGAAAGATCAATTTTGTAGAAGTTTCTGAGAATCGTACGGTGTCGCGAACAGGCTCTCCGCATGTCTCTTGTTTTGCTTTTTCAAAATCGTTCCTTTTTTGGATATTCCCAGTTTATGGATGCCATAATTTTTTTTCTTAGTAGACCTCGTTGAATTGATCCGTGACACGATAAAATTATCCTTAATTTCCTCCATAGATCTTTAATAGAATTATACGTAATAATCCTTAGACTGTTGTCAATAATTGACAAATTATTAATAATATTAATTATTAACATCAATAATAATATAATTATCAATAATTCTAAAGCTCATTTATGAGAATTGAAGTAAAAATTTCAATTTTCATCGTGTCACGGGGTTTCTGTCGCGAGTAGTCACAGTTTTATTTTGGACGGCATCCCGCAAGTAGTAAGTATCGATTTTGATCGGACAAGGAGCACATCGACAGGCACGCAACGTCGTGGAGGGACGTCTCGCAGCGTTTGACCTTCGTACTACTAGAATCTTCGTGAAAAATGAATAATCCCGATATTCTAAGATATTTCCTCCTCCCTTTTCTTACATCGAACAAACACACGCTCTGACAATCGTCGTTGTACGAGACGGAGCATGCGAACCGAACAGAATTCTCGCGAATCGAAATTGTCTTTGTGCGTCCCTCATTACTCGCCCTGTATTATATATCGTCGTAGAATTTAATGCGCAAGCAGGCGCCCGTAAAATATCATTTCCCCATAAAAGAAATGTTAAAACGCTTTACAAATATATTTTGTTAGTACTAAAATTCACACTGAAGGTTAAATAGATATTAGATGATTTAAAAGAAGGTTAAACATTATTTATTGAAATAATTCTTTGAATTGTTCACAGTAATTATTTGCTGTATCCTACTTGTAGACAAATTGTAGGCACGTTAGAGATTCGTAGATTTTTAATTTTGACAACTAAATGATATTAAACACGCGAGGAAATATTTTCATTTCTTTTCGATGCTCGATTTGCCTGAAAAATACCTTCGCCAATAATGAAGAGTTTTATAAACTTTGATATTAGGTGTAATTATCATCGATCGATTTAGGAAACATCCTTTGTCAAATCCAAGTCCACTGAAAAATAAGTAAAAATTCGTTTAAATTACTTCGTAAATGAAGCACCTTGTACCCTTTCGCAGTAAATTTAATTTTATTAATTTAAATATAATTTCGATTAATGCAGAAAATATTCTTCGTCAAATTCGAATGCATTAAAGAGTCGTCATCGATCAAATGTTATTGACAAGGAAAAAGTATTATTAAGGATTAGGCAATAAATCATGAAATATACGAAAATATCGACATAGAAATGATATTTTACCCGCGTAGAAACATTAATTAGGCTGTCGCCCACGCTATAAATCCACGTGTAATCCATGTGTAGGCGCAAACTGTGAACGTACCAATAAACTTGTGAAACCCGATACGTTGTGTTGTATGAGAAACGAAACGAATTATCGGACAGGCTTCGTAGTTAATTACATTACTTTAAGCTAGTCTGCTGGTAGAAGAATGTTTTTTTTTAATGGGCAGCAGTCTCTCGCCTAACAAATTACTTTCCTTTTTTTGTTAAAAAGATACAAATAAAAAACGAATGTCGTGCGTAGGAGGTGCAAGTTATAAATGGTTCGAAGCTTCTACTTTTTTATTGGACGCTTCTCGTAACATACATATAGTATGCATATGGGGACAATATGCTTTTATCGTCGTATTGACGATGCTGTAAAAGCTACGTATCTCGTTCTGCGTATCTATCTTCGTTTCCATTGTGTCGTTGTTTTTGTATCGATTACTTTTTATTTTTCTTTCTTTTTCTTACGCTCCGAAGGTGAAAGAAACCTGATATATTATATCTCGCGTGCACATCTGCATTACGTGCACGCGTATAAGGTGATTCATTGACAATAATTGGAATTTTAAAAAGGGACGAATCGTGTGAAACGTATGTCTGATCATTGACAATCTAATACTACTTCGAAATCGATTTCTTACTTTCTTTTGTTATATTTTCTCAATCGAATTTAAATTCCTTATTATGTGTTCTACATTTAATACGCGTTAATTATTATGAAGTAACTTTTTCATAAATTTTGGAGTACATGAATATTTGCCAAAATTTGTATTTCAATGGAAAAACTTAATATCCTTGTTCTACGGCAATTTTATTTTATAATATCCTACAATAATATTATAAAATAATATTGCATTTTATAATACTATTGTATTACTACTCTAATAGTACAATACGTCACTTTCTATAATGATATTATAGAAAATTATAGAAAAAAAATTCTTATATTAAATATTCTACGACGTTCTGTAAAATTTTCTTCCAAAGCTAATCATTCAAATAATGTCGATTAATAATTAAATCGATGAATCACCTACGGTGCATCGTAAGATACTAACAATGGCTTACAACGACCGTTTGCGATATCATCGTTTCGATCACTAGAATCGAGCGCACCGATTCCTCAGCCAAGCTGATCGCGCTTGCTCGAGTGTAACGAAGATCGCGCGTCTCAAATGCGTTCGAGAATTCCTTCAAAATCAACGCGTTGCGTCACGTCGTCTTAACGTGGCACAGTGTCAGGAAAAGAAGCTTACCAAAAGCAAAACTGAAAATCTGTCGCGAAAACGATAATCTCGAAATACCAGCGAGAACGAAGAATCTCAAAGACACGTTGCAATGAATGACAAGAGGGAAGAAGTTGCAGCAAGAAGAGCAAATGCTTTCAAGGACGAGATGGGACCTGAGGAGACGGTTAATCCTCTTGCGCGGGGATTAAGCTCCGCGACGTTTTTCTTTTTCTCTCAACATCATTCTCTCAACATCATTTAAAAAATACGAAATCATAAAAAAGTAAGAAACAAAAGCAGGAAAACTATCAGTAGTGTTCGAATCGACAATTCTTTGCAATTATTCTTTTTCTGAAAAAAGGAAAAAGAAAAAACTGGGAAAAAAGAACGAGAGATACCCCAAACGGATAACATGATCGACAAAACCGGAAGTAATCGCCCCGCGGACCTTAATCTTCCGCGAAATCACGCTTGAAACACGCAGGAAGAATTTTGCTGCGATAAACGAGCCGTATAATTGTTAAAAGTAAAGAAAAAGAGAAAGCAAATAAGAAAAGCACACATGTTTAAGAAAAAAGAAGGGTATCTATATATAAATATGTGTATGTATATATTATATATATATTGCTTGTAGAAATAAGAATCGTGTGTCCTATCAAGACCTGCAGCCAGCTCTCGACGAACTCCCAGTGTTCAGGTAACGGAAGAACCTATCTCACTCACATCTCTCAAATCTCTCTCTCTCTCTCTCTCTCTTTCTATATCTATATTCTACATATATCGATTATGTCTATTATCTATATCTCTATTTCATTCTCTCCATCATCGAACAGATCAGCGATATCGTCTATACGAGAGGAGAGAAACGCTTTCCTTTTCGGGACGCCATTGAGTAATATACGTTTTTTTTGTTTTTTCTTTTTTCATACTTCACGAATTTTTCGTAACGTGTATTATACATATCTGTTGTCTCGCTTGCTCTGATGCGCAGTAGAGTAGTTACGGCACTGTGGTTACGCTCACGGTGGTGGTCGCCGGGCTAAATAAAATTCTTTTGCTTTTTTTCATCGTATTATACGAAATTACGAATTAGAAGAATGATCAAAGTTATCATGATCAATTAATTGTACAACTAACCATATTGATGCTTTTATTTATGAATTTTTTGCAACGCCACTAGGAATTCAAGTTGAATATATCTTTTTCATAAAATTTGAAACTCGCGCGGAAGTTCTTCGCGCTCTCCATTCGATCATTTAAATCTTCCATATCGTGGGTGAAAGGGAAACGAAGATTATTACCACGTGATAATTATATTCGAACGATTGATTGTGGATGATGAAAAGAAAAAAAGGAACAGTTATCGAGGAGTTACTCTTCAAGGAACCAAGAAGCTTCTAGCGGTTATGAACAACGAGAGAACAACGGCAGTATCATTTTTTTCCTCGACGAGCTCGTCGAACAATCGATATTTTTTTCTTTCTCGTCGCCGGTGCGACGAATTTTCGCAGGTCCTCGAAATTCTCGTCGTTGCCGCGTCGAACATATCGAACGACCCTAACGACGCGACCATGGAATCTAGGAGAACGAGTTGACTCAAACGACGTGTGCAACGACGAGACACGCTCGATCGCCTCCATTTGACTAGATTGCACCGGTTTGCATCGTTTTTTCCTTCTTATTGTCCTTCTTGTCTTTTTTTTTTTTTTTTTTTTTTTTTATTGGATAAGTATTCGTCCTTTGGTCACGATGAAGGTATAACTCTTTTGGAAATCGGTGCTTATCAAATGGAAAAAGGGAGCTCACTTTGGAGAATAAAAATTCGATTCTCAAATGATCGTCTCAAATAATCTTCACTTATATAAACTTCTTTGCTAACTGGTCTGAATTATACTTTTATTGTGAATAATAGTATTAAGCGACATTCTATAGAAGATATTTTGAAGATGTAATATAATGTCTGGAAGGAATTTGTCTTTATAAGATCATTTGAGGATCGTTGTCATTGGAGTCTGATAGAATCACGATAGAATATTTTTGATTAGTTGAAAAGAGTCGTTGAGATAGAGATTGTTGGATGTGAATACGTGAAGGTAATGTGACGTTTTGATTTTTGAGACGACTCCAATGGGTGATATATCGTTGTATATTATATATACCTATATATTACGTATTAAGAAAGTACGTGATAAGAAAGTCTTTGGCGTAGGACGTAGAAGTTGATAAAGATTCGTGCATGTGACTGTTGTGCCGTACGATGTGTCGGTATGAGCCCTGATCGTTTTATTTTATTTTGTTTTTCGTTGAGATCGATCGGGCGCGCCGATCGCGCCGTCCCCACAGATCGATAATCTGTTGACGATTCCAGCACGCCGTCAGGAGATCATCAAGATGACCGAGCAGCTGATCGAGAGCATCAATATCGGAGATTTCGAGGCGTACACGTAAGTGACACGATGATGGATAAATTTCGGGGAAATATGAAATTAGCAAGAGAAGTCGTTGGAAAAATTGATTACGGTATAAAATTGTGACGAAAAAAATTTATCAAAGTGTGAAAATGTCAGTAAAGAAATTTCATTATGGCGTCAAAATGACATTGAAGAGATTCTTTATGATACAAAGTTTAAAAATGAAACGAATCATTATATTAACAAAATTTTAGAGAACAAATTTGTCAGAGTAATGAAAGAATAATGAAAACTGCGTTTTCATATAAAAGGTGACATCATATAAATTTTTCTAATTAATTTAATTATAAAAATTGTATTTTAATATAGTTGATACTGTTTTATCGATAATTATCGATTGATCGATATTCTGCTTTCACTGCATCCCAATGAAGTTAGAATGAAGAATATTCGGATTCTAATATTTCCTACGCTTGCAGGAAAATCTGTGATCCACATCTGACTGCGTTCGAGCCAGAGGCTTTAGGTAATTTAGTCGAGGGAATGGATTTCCACAAATTTTACTTTGATAATGGTAATTATGACTCATTTGCATCACTGTTAATCGTACCGCGCTGACAAAGCACCGCACCGTTGTGTCTACGTTGTACCTCCGTTTTGTTTGTTCCACTTCATTGCTGTATGTCGTGTCATGTCTTTGCTTTCTTACCCCCGTACGAACGTGGCGTAATCGCGGTGTAATCGCGTTTCTTATCCAGGCGTTAAAATCTCCGATCGATCGGTGCATTGGTCGTCGAATTTCACGTCGATGCAGCTTCTTATTGCACTTTCCATTAATTTTATGAATCTTTATGTTTAGCATAAACACTGAACGCACAAAATTTCTTTCAGTCGATAGCGTTTTTACCAAAATATTAGTTACAGAAGTGTTTTAATATCGTTCTTTAGAATATTCATATTGTTCGTTCAATGCTAGAATAATTTCAAAATGTACATCTCTTTCTATGATTTTTGAAAAATCTTATGTCTCTTTGTCAATTATGAACGATAAAATGCTCGTAGATACGAATGGAAATTAATAAGACACTTCTTTCGCTTGGTTTACTTTTTTATCCTTTTTTATCGTTGAATTTATCAATGACAGCTTCAGTGGTATATAAACGAACGTGTATATTCACAAATAACGAGCGTTTTGCTTTTTAAACACATAGCAGTTCTGGCGAAGCACTGCAAAGCCGTGAACACGA